CTAACTTCTCACCTGCATCATAAACCACTGAAATTTGATTCAAACAAAATGATCTGATTGGCTCCTCAGATATTTGCGCTACGATGGAATCTCGATATTCCCATTGTTCTTTTTCGAGGTAATCTCACAAAAATCGACTGTTTCGCAAGTGGACAAGTAGCATCTAACGAGAATACATGACTGATTGTTGCGTCTAGTGAGTCTTTCAATTTCATAAATTCGGACGAATTACGTCAGGAGTATTTTGCCGGTGCTCTTTTTACAGGCTAGATTTGTTTGACCATTGAGCCATGTGTTCTTAGTGCCCCCGGCCTAACAATCTGCTCGAAAGTTGACACTTCGCAAACCATTATCATCAACTATGAGGTCTTTGTTGGATCATTCACGTCTCAGACCGATTTTGAGCAGACTGAAAATCTGATTTTCCTGCCAAACCCAATCGATGCTCATTCGGTAGAGCTGGGACACTCGATTGACATGCTTTCGGCCGGCACACACGTTTACTGTTTCACAATACCCTTTTAAGCAGTACGATTTCGGATTTAGGTGACCTCAGGAACCTGTGTCTACACTCACCCTCTGTGGTGATGAGCCGGAAATAAATGAGAGCTTTGAATACCTCGGGAGCTTGATCGCAGCTGATGGTGGTGTTGTGGAGGAGATCACATCATGAATAGTGTAAGCTAGAGCAGCTTTAGCCAACCTGCGACACCTGTGGCGTCGCCATGACATCTGATTATCCCTTAAGGGAAGGGTGTATCGCCGCAGTTCGTAGCGTTTTACTTTACGGTTGCGAGACCTAACCTCTCCGTGTTGAGGATGCTAAGCGACTTTCTATATTCGACCACCGATGTCTCCGAAGCATTGCTCGTGTTTGGTGGGAAAATCGGGTGAGCAATGAAGAGGTCTGTCGTCGTGTGTAGGGTGTGGATAGTCGTACTCTAACAGAAGTAATCACTCTACACCACCTCCGATGACTTGGGCACGTATTGCGTATATCTGGCCATCGACTACCTTTCCGTGCTCTCTTTGCAAGTGCCGTGGCGGTCAGACCATGACATGGTGTAGAAGTATGAATAAACTGATTTCAGTTTTGGCTTCGGTTGGTGCACCTCGCTTTCCAGGTTTGGGCCCAAGGGATGAGGATCATCGTCGATTAGAGAAGCTGCGAGATATTGCCCAAAATAGAAGTCAGTGGTGCGAATGATGTACGGTCTGCCTGTCGAACCCCCGTGCCACATAAGAAAAAAGACAAACCATACACAAAAAGAATTTCAAAAAGTGTACGGTGAAACAAAAAAATGTCATTTCATTTATTTGCTATTTCCCATTTTAACAGTACCATCTTTTTCCTATGTTCTGTATCCCAACCTCCCCTCCTGTATTATTATCGTTATTATTGTTTTGGCGTTGGCACCATGATTGTCCGCAAGCCGGTGTGAAATACATATGCTAGTGACCGCAGAGGTGATTACCATCTGTTTCACAAGGAAGTTAGACTCAGACGGTCAAATTCCGATAGCCGAATTCGCTCGGACACGTGACAAACATCAACTTTGTTCAGGTAGAATCCGAACACTGCACTAACTTGGAGTGTTTCTGAGATCACCAAAGTCTTTATAACCCACTCCACTTTATGTTTGACCTGAACGAATCGCATCGCACAGGCTTGAAAATGAATTCATCAAAATCTACACTGTTCTTAATCCAGGGCACATCGAGCGATATGGAACATTGCCATGGATGGGAGTTATATCTCATCTGGTAGACGGACCACTATCCGTGAAGAGACAGAAGGGCAGTCGATTCACATGCTAACTGGTGGATGCAATATCCCTCTGTAAGTTGGATAGGTAATTCGAATGTGAAAAGATCCGTGCTATCGGTGTGACTTCGTACCTCAGCTGGTAGAGCGTGCGCGTACAAAGCGCAGGCGGCATTCATGCGTGGTTTCAAATCTCACCGAGGCTACTGAACTTTTCGAAGTCTCGACATAAAATCTTCAAATCTGCCAGACAACAATTTGAACAATTAATTGATGTTTGCCAACTTGGGACACATTTGGTGCTGCCAAGATATTCGGCGATACTTAAGGGATCAAATATATGTGGCGTGTCAGATGGGTCGGTGCAGATGTATAGGAAAGAAATGAGAAAAAGACCAACTATTGGCGTTGGAACACCACTGTCTTCACCACCAATCCGGCAGGATAATTGGACAACTAATACCGAGATTAGGTAATAGCGACTATGTACTAAGGCAACTACCCGAGCATCATGGATTTCCGTGACTGGAGTATGTAATAAAATATCTTATTAATTACTTTTCTATTTAATGAATACATAAACGTAAAATCAACTTTCAGGAATGAGGCCGCAGCCCTACAAAGGCTGCCCGGAAAAATACAGAAATGGGGAAAATGTGCAGTGGTCCGAACGCGGGAATTCCGAGTCAACATTTAAATGACCTTAACCACTTGATCACCACCGCTTTTCGATTTCATCTCACTCCAATCAATCACATTGTATTAGGAATTCCACAAAGTGATTGGTGTTTTAGCCGTTACACATTACCGGTTAGAGGAGGTCTATCAAAACCCCGTCTAGTCGGTCGACAAGACAGATCGATAATTCGGTTACCACGTTCAGGCATGAATGTTGGTATGAGTGAGCTCAATTTACGTTTTGAATAACCTCACGAGTGAATTCCACTGAAACAGGTTTCCGCCATTAAAACCGCTTCTGTTTAACTCAATGCGACTACCTGCATATTTCCGGTTACATCTGTGCGGTCTTTAAAGTTTATTAAGTGAGCAGGTGGTGACAAGAACAACTCAAAATTATAAAAATGACGATAACTTTGAACTAGCTGCTTTATGGGGTAAGTACAGTTTTTGACCAACGGTTGCTTTATTCTTGATCAGCGACTTTCTACTACATGAGGATGAGCTAACAGTCCTGTATGGTAAAGAGTGATATCACAGTCAACGCTGAGTCTTTTTGTCCTATCCGTAACTTAAACGGGCCCCGCAACACTGAGCTCGTCAGATCATAGGCTCTGAATGATTGTTTAAACTGTCAAGTTAGTCGCGAACACAGAAACAACTGTTTCCCAAGGTTAATACAGCATAATGTAACAGTGAGTCCAAACATTGTTTGCAGCTGTTATCGAATGAAAATTACACCTTTAGCTTTTTCGGTCATGTGAATATATCTACCTTTGGGACCCGAGTTCTCGCGCATGAAATAAAACCCCGAAATCGGGAAATTAGTCGAAGAACTCGTCTCCGGTTTAAACTCAGAAGTTATCTTGCGAATTGTTAGGGAATGTTTTGCATTTTTGGTGACTACCTATCCTATCTCATTTCCTCGCACAATCAACAGTTGATCTTACTAACCAGAAGAATTTAGCTTAATTTTCACCCTTTTTAGGGTACATCAGTAAATAATTAATCATTTTACTTTCTTTATAGTTACTGAACAAAATAAATCTGCGATTTTAGGCAGGAGATTATAATTAATCAAAGACTGAACTATAGAAATAAAAGTCGAGACGGATAGTGAAAGCTGGTTTTGAACACAAACTCTGTGCAGCTGATATAAGGACATACCCACTGTCCCGTACCGATGGAGAGAGTTTCATCAATGTGCCAACTAGCTCATATGACGGGCTGACGTAAATTATTAATTCGAGTTTATATTAGCTTATAGCTTTGGAGAATATCAGTCAGTTATTGTCCCTAGAGCTCCGAAGAGATCCACAGTTTGCAACCCTAATTCATTTCCCTCCGGTTTCGATTACCGGGTTCACAGAATGAAACTTTCATCAGCGGCCGAAAACTCGTGTACGTTAAAAAAAAAATGGTAGCCCGTAGGAGAAGCACATAAACTGGTGGACTGTTCTTGGGGGTATCCTCAACCACCGTGTTCGACATCGTTTATTCCACCTGCACCTGTGGCTAACAAGGGGAAACATGCGTCAGCGTTCAGACACCGGCTCACTAAGAGAGAAGAGTTCCCCCGGCAACAGAGTGTATCCGAAACACACGGGGCATCGGTGAGATTGCGCAAGGGTACACAAAGATATCTACCCCATGGTGGGTGGATGGGGTCAAATGCCCAATCCAAGTGTCAAAAGAAATAAATCAGCCCCCATAGGGCCACCGTTGGTCATATAGTTTTAGTTTAGACAACCATGCATACACAGGCTGTAGTAGTGGAAAGTCTAGAGGTGAGCCCTCGAAAAATGCGGCGTAACGGGTGATGATAGCTATTCTGGGAAGATATCATGATCGTTATGAAGCCAGGTGATCATTTGTAAGGAGCCTACTGTTGAAATAAAGTATGATAAAGCGATAAAAAAGGCAAGCAATAGCAACATAGTTTCAAGTAGTATATTTTGAAAAAAGCGAGTGAAGGCACGCTTAGAGGACAAAAACAAATTAGCCCTCTTTGTGAGCACAAGGCTAATTGGAATGTGTGTGTGTGTGTATGATAAGAATTCGATCAAAAACAGGCGATTGAGCATAATGGTAACACACAAGCAACATCACTACTTCTGGCGTATACAAAAATAATGATAGTTAAGCATCTGACTGTAATGGTGACCTTGGGAAGAAAACGAGACAAGAAATAAGGCAGGTAAGCATGTGAGTTGAAAATGGTTCAAAGGGAACTGGTTGTTATATCACTCATCAAAAAGAATTAACAGATGACAAAACAAACAAGACTGTAAAAACACGGGAAGAAATTGAATTTTACAATATAATGAATGATTCGAAACTTGCAAGCGTAAAAAAGGTGTGATGAAAGCAAAGATTAGGGCATGAATAAACCGGGATACCATTACGTTGGCGAATATTGCCTATTACACCGTGAAAAAAGGATGCCCTCTGAAGGAAAACAACCACCAATAGCAATACCACTCCAAAAACAAAACAAATACTTTGGATTGTTTTGAAAGAAGGTTGAAGCGGGAAAACAATGATTGGGGGACAGCAATTAGTTGTGTAACGAGGCAGCGGCAGTCATTGAGTTAACTTCCTTGGTAGATCCAGTCACACGACCTGAACGTCTTCGAACGCCATGCTTTTCATTACGACTATGCCCGGACGAATGTGGATGATGAAAGCTGAGCGAATGAACCAAACGACTCAATACTCGAACTGGTAACCAAACACCCAAACTGTCCGACTTGCCGTTTGTGGAACTGGTCCCACCACCAGACTGACTCGACGCACGCTCCATACCCCGACCGCGATTCAGAGTCTAGTAGCAAGTTCAATGAACAGAACAGTTGATAATTGAATGAAACATGCTATCAGTGCTCAACATAGATGTATACCGGTGATGAAGAAAAACTTTTACCATCCAATAAATTTCTGATACACTGTGAGATAAAACATCAATCGATTCGAGTTTTAAAGATTTACCCCCCCCCCTCCCGGAATCTACAGGATTCAAACGAGAATGCCCTATGAACAAGCACTGAAATAAAATCTGCTAATATATCCAAGTCATTCTTATCTCATGTTGTCTAATATGATGAAACGGCAATTAGATACGGTGATACCCTGTGCTACGCCAATCAAAATAATACAAGGGAATACATTAACAAGAACCCGGAGAAATTTAGAGCCCGCCGATGGAAAGGGCAAGAGGTAGAAAAAGACTGCGACGGTGCATGAAACAGAATTAACTAACTCTCAGAAAGTGGTAATGTTCAATAAAACACCCATGTTATACTGTTAAGCCATTATCTCTCGTGTGAGCATGAGTTGACTCCTTAAATGTCTCTGGTGATGAGTATGTGTAAATTATGACCTGGTGCACCTTAAAATGTAGTTGTTGCGTCACACTCTTTGAATATGGCCAAAAGGCTTGATAGATCCATGTCAGATTTGACTGTGTTAACCTAGGAGCTTGATTGGCTCGGAAGGGGTCATTTTCGAATCAAACAGGGCGATGGACATCTTAAAGAGTGGTGTTTCTGGACGAACTACCCAAGATAGTGTTTTTGAGAAACAGTAATAGCCAACATATCAACCTTGAAAATGTTGATGTAAGTCAGGGTTGAGAACGCGGTTGAACCACTTCATTTCAATCGCGTATCACAGACACCAGCGGTTGGAGCTTCCCAGTTTCGTCGTGCAATCTACACTCGATAGCCACAATTCACAAGCGTATGGATAGACAGTCCAAAAGGCGGCTCGATTAAGGCACCGGTTGTGAGGAGGATTAGTTCGCTGTAAAGCTATATGGGTTTGGGAAGTTGTAGGGATGCCTTGATTTGCGCAGTCGACCAGA